AGAAAGTTGATGTATGATGATTATAAAGAGCCGATCACTGCTGCTCTCAGAGTTTCAGAAATATCAGAAATGTGAATAAACGTTCAAATCAACATCTGTCTAACAGAAATGACTGACTTGTGTGAGTGTGTCAGCAGACAAACTGCATTCAGCTTTAACACCATCACTTCCTTATTTACTTATTTCCCACACAAAGAGCCCTCTAGTGAAGAATGTATTACATGAGATATTTGACAAAATACTGAATCTACTTTTGAATGAATTGTTTTTTGTTTATTTTTCTTCCAGAATTTTTGGCTTTATTATTTTTCAGTGACCAATGATCCCAGTTAAACATGTGACAAGCCCGAATTTCATTGTATTTTTGTGAAAGCTCTGTCTGTGTGGTGGTGCAGTGGTTATGGTGGTCGTCTCGCTTTAACAAGCTCGTGGCTTCATGTCTGGGACTTCACGTGTTCTTCCTGTTTTTGTGGTGTTTGTTCACAGGTGTGAGTACATCTAGTTTTCTTTCTCTCTGTGTTTGCCCTGTGAGAGACTGTTGGGCTGTCCAGGTGTACCTCACCTCTTGCTCTGTGGCAACTGTGATAAACTCCACCTTGTGAACTCTAACCATATAAGTGGAAGAGCATGTATCTGTCAGCGTTGATGGTGAAAGCAGAGACATGAAATTGTTTGAGGTTATATTGTGGTTCAAAAAACAAACTTAAAAGAACGACCTGAAGACATGATCACCCAGAAAGTAAGAAAACCTAAAGCTCCTAAAGTAATACAATTAGCAGGTCTTGTATTTTGCATCACATGCATTTCATTGTGTTTACAGAGAGAACAACATGAAAGTAAACACTACTAAAACATCATCTGCTGTACAAATACCTGATTTTCAATTTAAAGATGTCTGATGATATTATGTGGTGGAAATGACTGGTATGATGGTGTAGAATGGGGCGATTGTGGCTCAAGAGTTGGCAGTTCGTCTTGTGATTGGAAGGTTGCCGGTTCAAGCCCTGGTTCGGAAAGCCTCTGTTGTTGTGCCCTTGGGCAAGACACTTAACCTATGGCCTACTGGTGATGGGCAGAGGGGCCGATGGCGTGATATGACAACCTCGCTTCTGTTCTGACTACAACTGTAGCTGCCTCCACCAGTGTGTGTAAAACGCTTTGAGGGTCTCGAAAAGCGCTATATATATGCAATCCATTACTAATAATTGTGCGCTTTGTGTTGTGTTACTTTCTAGGTGATTTGCAGCTTCAAATATAAAAATCTTTCACATTGTTTGTGTCAAAAATTTAAAACATTAAAGACATCATGTTTGGAGGTTTAACATCTGTTAAATTTTTTCTACATCCGACAACAACAACTAACAGCTTCACATGTCCACGTTCTCATTGTTATCACTGAAGGTTTTTTTTTATTGTAAATAAACACTAAATATTTATGTGAAATTTAGTGATATTGCAATTTTTACATTTTGTGAACTAAAAGATAATATTATAATTTTATTAATGATGACAATAAATAGAAAATACATTTATTTGAGGTCAATACATGGACTCTTCACTAGAGGGCTCTTTGTGGGGGAAATAAGTAAATAAGGAAGTGATGGTGTTAAAGCTGAATGCAGTTTGTCTGCTGACACACTCACACAAGTCAGTCATTCCTGTTAGACAGATGTTGATTTGAACGTTTATTCA